TGGTTACATCAGCGCAGCGGGCCAAGAAGTGTGTCTAATGTTGTATGGCGGCTCGGCGTTAGCAAGCGCGCTTGACCCCCTGTCGGACGCGTTCCGCACAGCACTGGCACCGCCAGCCCCGGCAGCGCCCGCCTGCCGTCGTTTGACGCTTGTGTACGGGGATCTCTCAGCAGCGGATGCGCCAGAGATCAGCGTCGGGCACGCGGACGGAGAGGAACAGACGGCTACTCCGGAACCTGCGCACACCACACAGGCGCCGGTGGCCGAACACCCTTCACCGGGGAGGGCGGATAGCGAAGCCGAGACCGTTGGAGACGCTGATGGGAATGAGGCGCCGCCCGTCGGCAGCCCTGCCCCAGCATGGCCAAGAGCCGCCTTGGCTTGGCTAGGCACCATCGACCTTGCGGAGGCATTCCGCGAACGGTTGCCGACCATCCGCACGGTGCCCCGATTCCTCACAGCGGGGGTGCGCAGGTGCCTGACCCGTTGCCTCAACGATCTGCAAATCGCTTATCGGCGACGTGATGGGGCTGCCCGAGAAGCAGCGTGGAAACTGTTTTTGCTGGCTCCGCGTTTGCTACTGGCGCGCTGCCGTGACACCGGGCCAGTCGGGCGAGCCGCTCTCCTGCGCCGCGTTGAGCTCTTTGAGTCGGGCTCGTGGGAGCAGGTGCTGGAAGAGGCCCGAGCGGGCTCCCCGCACCGATTCAGATGTGCTCGAAGAAGCTATAACGAAAGGGTGCGGCAAGGACAGCTGCCCGGGCGCGCCAAGCCCTCACAGCAGCTGCGCTGGCCCCTGGCACTGATGAGACTCTCCGGGCATTATCGGATCCCACCCGTCGGCCGCCATCTCGGCGCCGTGAGATACCTGCAGAGGTATTGAGCCATGAGCCGGCAGAGGCCGTCACCTTGTCGGTCCAACAAGTCGCGGAGTCACTCCGTCGCGCCAAGCGAGGGTCCGCACCAGGCCTGTCGGGGGCAACGGTAGACCATTACAAGTTGCTCTTGGACGACCCTGCAGCGCTCGAGCTCCTGGCTTTTGCAGTCAACTGCCTTGCGCGGGCTGACGTGCCGCCTGTCATTGTCCAAGCCCTTTCCCTGTCAAGGCTAACGGCCTTGCGCAAGCCAGGAGGCGGCGTGCGGGGCATAGCCACAGGTGATGTCTTTCGCCGGTTGGTGTCCAGGGTGCTCGCACGTGCCTTTGCCAACGTTTTCGACGAGGCCACCCGGCCAAAACAGTTCGCTCTCAGCACGCGGGCAGGGACTGATAGCCTTGCGGCGATGCTCCGCGCAGCCACCGAGCTCGACCCGGATGCAACGATAGTCTCACTCGATGGCCGCAGTGCGTATGACAGCGTCAGCCGCGCATCCATCATGGGCAAATTCAAGGAGGTTGCGCCCCAAGTCTTGCCTTTCGTCCGGTCTTTGTACGCACGTGTCTCCACATACCTCTGGTGGGACGACGACGGCCGCTGCCACGAGATCGCGCAGGCCGAAGGGGTCGAACAGGGCGATTCCCTCGCACCGGCGTTGTTTGCGCTAGGCCAGCACGACGCGCTGGCGACAGCAGCACGACAGCTTGAGCCGGGGGAATTTTTGGCAGCCTTCCTGGACGACATCTACGTCGTCACATCACCGTCGCGTGCCCGTGACCAGCTGGATGCTGTCACAGCCACCATTGAGCGCGAGGCCGGGGTTGCTGCAAACCTTGGCAAAACGCGCGTATATCATGCCCGCGGCGGCCCCCCACCACCAGGCATTCGCGAGCTCGGCGAGGAAGTTTGGCGCAGCGACAAGCCTCCCGCAGAGCGCGG